TTTCACAACAATTTATACCAAAAGACTAAAATCTTCATAATTTTGAGTGCAGTATAGAATGTCTGCATTTCTAAATCAACGTTCTTCATCGTCATCATCGGAGGAATCGTTTCCAACATTTCCTCTAATGAAAAGAAATGCCCTAATTTATTTTTCAACAACAAAGCCTCTGATGAAGGTGCTACTGTGGAATACGCAGACGTTGGAGCATTTGCATAGGGAACTGAACCGCTGGCTAGAAGGAGATATTGTTGCAGGTGAAAAGATTAGGAAAATTGAGAGGTTGGTCGAGGAGTCAGGGAGAAACGAAGTTACTCGTGAATGGAGAAAAGTAGAAAATGATGTTGGTGTCCTTGTGATGATGTTAACACCAAAGAAGATAACGTTGATGGTTGTGATATCATAGACACTTTGATGCATTGTTCTGTTTTATGTCGGTTTGTTGTTGTTATTTTTTGGAAATGTTGTTGTGATATTAAGTTATGTTTGTTTAATTTATGTTGCTTGCTAATTGTAATCGGTTAAGTATGCTTTAAATGGAATGAAATTTGTTGTTGATTTAAAGGGACCTGGTTACATTAGACACTATGATCTTGTGCTTGATCCCACGTTAGGTCATTTTGTACGATTGTGTCTTGGTTGCCGACACGAACTACATAGTCTTACCATCTTGTTTACTATTTCCATCTCCGTTCGAATGCGCGTGCTGTTAGGGCGACCCTTTTTCTTTCTTCGCATCAAATCATTATCCCAGACAATTTCGCCTTCGTATTGACCATGTGCCATCAACTTGAACTATAGGTTTACAATATGCAAAGCCTTTGATGCATGGTTCAAATGCTCAGAAGAGTCTGTGAAAAATTCCATTTTCACTAACGTAAGTCTCGTCTGGTGTATACGCTGGCATTATCTCCAATATGGCAACAGTCCCTAGAGAGTATTGTTTAAGAGCCACCAAGAATTTTGGAAGTTCCTTGTAAGACTCCTCCGAATTTCCAAACACCCTTTCAACCGTTTTAGTCCTAGCTATCCACGCTTTCTAGTATGAAGGAGTGTAATTGTACCTTTGAACCATATGTCAAATTATGGTACTCACCTTCAAAGACAGTACTGGAAATACTATAAATATTATGTATTTACCGTTGTTGCATAACATAAACAAAGTGTGCACATATAGTTGGGGATTAGTTGTCCTCGCCCATCTATATAATGCATTATGTAAAAATGCCAAAAAAAAAAATCTTGTACTTTTTATGGCTGCGCTTATCTCCTTCAAGCCTGGGGTTGGTCTAGGATGCCAACACTTGCTCCAGCCGACCGCAATCCATTCACATTCTCATACGCTAACAAGTAAGTTTATTTTCAAGACAAATTTACAACCAAAGTTTCTTTGTAACTTAATCATTTGTACGATGTGTCTTAGTGTCTAATTTATTTGTGTTTCTTTTTTTAGGTGGTCTGTTCCGGGGATGAATTACCAAAGATGTCCCAAGAACTCCATACTCGTATACCACAGCCTTATTGAACACATTAGGCCAAATGATGTAATTTATCTACCTTTACTTTGTCTAATTGATAAACACAAACTTGTATTTCTCATTGCGTATATCGTTAATGTAGTTTGTCTGGATGCCGTACGAGGGTCTTGACCACCAGCCCAACGCAGATGATGCTGTCGTGCGGACATCTAAAACACCTATCGTTAGGTTCACTATAGTGGAGATGCACCAAAGTGACCGGATGAAACTACAGTTCAGGATGCATCAGGATATTCCAGATGCTCCGACGTCATTAGGACACTGGCATCAGCTACGGGTGGATGCACAATGGAGTGTTGGTCATTGGAAGGACTTTGCGAAAGAGATGTGTCTGCATTGAAAAAACCGACGTCAACACATCTTAACCGAACCTATTGTGGAAGGGGTTAGGCCAAGCTATCAATATATGCTTTGGTTTAGGTCGGTTACAACCTCACAACCATTTATGTCTGAGCCGACATATTTGATTGACCTGAGACAACGTGCGTCTTCCTCGACTCCACATCAGCAATCCAATGCCCAACATCAAACACCATCTTATACGTAATATCCAACTATGCCCACCCAAACAATCTTCCAAAATTGTAACCCATACATGCCACTAACCCAATCACAACAACAAGAGCCTTACCCATACCGTCAGCGTTCTGAAACCGACACCACTTCTGCATATAGCCCTGATACGTCTTTTGACTCTACCCCCTCCACCTATAGCCCATATAACTCTTTTGAACCCACACCATACAGTCAATCTTCCTACCAATAAAATACCCATCCATTTTTTGAATATCAAACCCCACAACAACCAATACATCGTTTTCAAACCGATTCGATGTACCAATTCGGACAACCATACCGTCCATACTCCACCCAACCTCCCCGACAAAACTACGAAAATATGGGTGTTGAACTTAATTACGGAAGCGTCGTTGATAGTGACCCTCTCGGTTATTGGGGTCAAATGCTTCAAAATTTATCTGATACGTCGGGGTCATCCGAACAAATACCTCTTCCACGGGTCAACACGCAAAGATCAGATAGAGCCGACCATTAATTTTTTTTTTATCAGTTGTAATTTTTATTATATTATAAATTATTATATTTTACTATTTTTTTCATTTATATATTTATTTATATTATTTAAATTACAAATATTATTTTAATTATGTTATAAAACTAAAATTATAAAAAACAAAAATTAAAATAAAAAAAAAGAAAAAACAAAAAGAAAAAAACCCTAACGAAAATAAAAAAAAACAAAACAAAAACTGATTCGCCATATCATTTGGCGAATTCTTTTTTCTAAAAAATTTTAATTTTGTTTTATACGCCATATCATATGGTGAATTAGTGTATGATTCCATGTTTCAGCTATATAATATGGCACATGCACGTTGAATCATGGTTGGATTGATATATTTTTTGAATCATATTTTTATTTGATATTTTTTTTGAAAAAGGTGGTTAGTTAAAAAAAATTTAAGGATTAGACGCAATGAAAAATGAAGAGGCTTAAAGTCCATGGAAAAAAGACACAGTTGATTTGAAAGAATGTAGAGGCAGTAGAAGTAAGGAAAAAGAGGTTCTCTGAACGACATTAATTGCAACGCTTCCTGCATTGGTAAAGTAACAACAAATATAATATTTTAATAATGGAAGTGTTTCAGCCACATGACTTAATGTTGAGCAAGAAGGGTTTTTGGGTAATTTCCAAAGTTATATAGTAAATCACCAAAATCACTTATCTCCTTATAAATAAATAGGTTATTATTATTATTATTATTATTTTTATTATAATAGTAATAATTATTATTTTGTTTAACTAAGAGCACATGATGTAGGGTGGGTAAAATCTTTATCTTTTTTACAAAATATAAAAGGAAAAAGCATGGCTTTTCTAAAAAGGCAACAGTTTAATAATTTTACTAGCAAGAGAATTTCCTTCTATTTTCACATACAATGCCTATACTTTAGTTCATAGTAAATTTTAATTAGTATAAGTTATTTTATCAGATTTATATCCTTAATTTTCTTCAACATATTTTATATAATAATACCTTTTATTTGTCTTTCAAGAAAGCTCCATTTTTCAGGTTTTCTCTTTTCTTTTATCTCATAAATTCTTTTTTGTTCTTTTCTTTTTTCATTATTGTTTAATACAATTTCGTTAATATAATTATTATTTATTTTAATTTACAATTAAAAGACACAATTCAAATTTACATATACATTTAATAGATACACCGTATCAAATAAATTAATTCATGCGAAAGCACGAATATTTTTTAATTCGACCACAAAAATACGAAAGGGATTAATAAAAATAAGAACATCTGTCAACAGCTGTATGCTGTATGTGTGCTCTATCCAAGAAAGACAAGGATTAGAGGCTTGACTTAAGTGATGAAGCTTGACTTTGAACTTTCAAACTCTTCTACAGACACTAACAAGTTGGTATCCTATCATAATCTTGCATAGGTAAGCGCTTACATAATATATCAATAAAGAGTTCTTAGACCAACTCCAACGGTGGTTTTTCAAATTGGTTTGCCAGCTTGGCATTGAAAATGTCAACAAAATGTTATTCCAGCTGTAGAACGTTACAAACATAAGCAACGATTCTTCATTTGGTTTATTATTAAAATAATCATTTAGCTTTATTTTATTTTTTTAACTTTTTTATTTATTATAAATATAGGTTTGTTGGAAAAAATTTATATCATTCCTATTTTCTCTACTTTTTATTCCTATTTTCTCTCCTTTTTATTTGCTCTTTAATTTCAAATTTCTCTCTCACAATTTCATCATTTTATTCATAAATATTTAATTTTTTTCCAACAATTTCTTCTCATTATCATTTTATTTCAAATTTTCATCTTTTTATTTCAAATTACATTTGTTTATGCCAAATTTTCATCTTTTTATTTCAAATTACATTTGTTTATGTGATGTTATTTATTTTTATTGTTTTTAATTATGTGATGTTATTTATTTTTATTGTTTTTAATTATGTGACATGTATTTAAATTTAATTTTAATTATTATTTTCAATTTTATGTTTAATTTTAATTTTATGTTTAATTTGTATTTATATTAATTAAATTTTAAATATTTAAATTATAATTTTAAATAAAATAAATTTAATATAAATAATATATTTTAAATAAAGTGGTGGGACCCAATATGGATTCTTTGAAGTTGCACCATTGGAGTGAAAATTGAATGAGTTGCTTTAAAAGAATGGGTCCCACAAAGAACCCAAAAATGGGTTGCACCATTGGAGGTGCTCTTATAAAAATTAACAGTGTCCAAATGTAAGTTCTCCATGAAAAATGATTTTTTTTACAACCACATATACCGTTATCACATGTTTTTTTCTTTTTTTTTTTTCTGAGATTTTAACTTGACCTTATAAAAAAGTTTATTATAGAAATCTTCATTCATTCACTCATTCCCAAAAAAATGGAGTCCCAAGAATCTCAACTTCACTTTGTGTTATTTCCACTTATGTCCCCAGGTCACATGCTTCCTATGATAGACATAGCAACAACATTAGCACAACAAAACAACATCATCGTCACCATTGTCACTACTCCACACAACGCTTCTCGTTTGTCACTATCTTCTCACAAAATTCGATTACTTCAACTTCAATTCCCATCTCAAGATGCAGGCTTTCCAGAAGGGTGTGAGAATTTCGATATGCTTCCATCCATGTCAATGGCCTACACTTTCTTCGCCGCGGCGAATACCCTTCTTCAAGAACAAGCAGAACGAGCTTTTGAAACGCTAACACCAAAGCCAAATTGTATAATCTCTGATGTTGGTTTTTATTATACTTCTCAAATTGCGAACAAGTTTGGAATTCCAAGAATTTCATTTTATGGTGTTAGTTGCTTTTGTCTTGTTTGGCAACAAAAAGTGATTATCTCTAATGTTATGGAGAAAATAGCAAAAGATTCTGAGTATTTTCTAATACCTGATATCCCTCACAAAATTCAGATCACAAAAGCACAACCGCCGTCGACGTCGAACGATGGAAATTGGAAGGAATTTCTTGTTAAAATGGCTGCAGCTGACATGGCTTCTTATGGTCTTATTGTGAATTCTTTTGAGGAACTGGAACCTGAATATGCAAGTGATTTGAAGAAATCTAGGAATGGTAAAGTTTGGTGTGTTGGTCCTGTTTCACTTAGAAACAAGAATCACTTAGATATAGCACAAAGAGGGAAAAACAACAAAGTAGCTTCTTCAATTGATGTTGAAAATTGCTTAAACTGGCTTGATTTGCAAGAATCGAATTCGGTTATCTATATATGCTTAGGAAGTATATGTAATTTAACTTCTCTGCAGTTCATAGAGATTGGTATGGCATTGGAAGCATGTGAAAGGCCATTCATTTGGGTTATTAGGGAGAGAAACCAAACAGAAGAGTTGAATAATTGGATCAAGGAATCGAGTTTCGAGGAAAGGACTAAGGAGAAAGGCTTTTTGATAAAAGGTTGGGCTCCTCAAGTATTGATACTGTCGCATTGTGCGATTGGAGGATTCTTAACGCATTGTGGTTGGAATTCGACGTTGGAAGCAATATGTGCTGGTGTGCCAATGATTACGTGGCCGTTATTTGGTGATCAGTTTTTCAATGAGAGGTTTGTTGTGGAAGTGTTAAGAGTCGGCGTGATGGTTGGAGCGGAGAGTCCTGTGAATTGGGGAGAGGAAGAGAATGTTGGCGTGTTGGTGAAGAAAGAAGATGTTGAGAAGGCTATAGAGAAATTGATGGACGACGCGAGTTGTGAAAAGGAAGAGAGAAGAAAAAGGGCTAAAGAGCTTGCAGAGATGGCTAAGAGATGTGTAGGAGAAGGAGGATCTTCTCAGTTGAATGTTACTCTATTGATTCAAGATATTCTTCAACTCTCAACAAAATAGATTGATTTTGTTTGCAGCTTTTTTATAATTATTTTTTATGTTCTCTTGATTTTTCAATGTTGAAGATTGAACTGCTTATTTCACTTCAGTGTTATGATGTTTCTTTGATATGATAATCAAAACATAACACTAAGAAAAACTTGAGCAGTTGATGATTATAGCCTATATTTGATTCTCGTTATGCAGTAGTTTTGGTTCAAGAGAAGTTCAAAGTTCAATTTTGATGGTTTTATATATATTGTGAACTGCTTCAATATTTTGTTGTGAATAGTAGATCATATTTTTTGGTTGAGCTCCATTTGGTATATGAGTGTGTGCTACATGAGAGGTCTTTCAGGAACAGGAGGAACTAAGATCAAAGGTTCTTGAAGGTAACCCTTAATCTTATCAAAGGCTTGTTGACAATTCGAGTTCCAAACAACCGTCTGATCTTTGCGTAACAACTTGAAAATGGGTTCACAAGTGGGAGTCATATTGGAAATAAACCTGGATATATAATTCAATCTCCCAAGGAAACCTCTCACTTGGTTCTCAGTCTGCGAAGCCGACATATCTTGAATAGCTCGCACTTTATCTGGATCTACCTCAATCCCTCGGTGGCTAATAATGAAACCGAGTAACTTCCCGGATCTTACTCAAAAGGTACACTTGGCTGGATTCAGTCTCAACTGATACTTCCTGAGTCTCTTAAACAACTTCAAAAGATGATTCAAGTCGTCCTCCTCACTCTGAGATTTGGCGATCATGTCATCAACATACACTTCTATCTCCTTATGCATCATATCATGAAATAAAGTCACCATGGCTCTTTGGTAAGTGACACCAGCATTCCTCAAGCCGAAAGACATGACTTTATAACAATAAAATCCCCAAGGAGTGATGAAAGTAGTCTTTTCCATGTCATCCGGATCCATCTTGATCTGGTTGTATCTGGAGAAACCATCCATAAACGAGAAAAATGCAAAACGAGTCGTATTATCCACCAAAGTATCGATATGCGGCAAAGGGAAATCATCCTTCATACTAGCTTTATTCAGATCCCTATAATCCACACACATTCTGACTTTCCCATCTTTTTTCGGTAGGGGTACGATATTAGCCACGCATTCAGGGTATTTGGATACTGCCAAGAAATCTGCATCAATCTGCTTCTTCACTTCATCTCGAATCTTAAGAGCCATGTTAGGTCTAGTTCTTCGGAGCTTTTGTTTGACTGGTGTACATTCTGGTCGGAGTGGTAACTTGTGAACCACTATGTTAGTGTCTAAATCCGACATATATTGATATGACCAAGCAAATACATCAACATACTTTTTTAAAAGCTCCACCAATTGCTGCTTGACTTCTGCCCCAAGCGTTGCCCCAATCTTGACCTCGTTCTTGTCTTCTTCAGTGCCAAGATTAATAACATCCACATGCTCCTTGTGAGGTTGAAGATCTGTGTACTCTTAATACGCCATATTTTCCAGTTCCTCAGGGATCTCGAAATCTTTATCCTCATCTTCAACTTGGTATATAGGTGAGTCGAAGTCATGAGGGAACACAAAGTCATTGGATTCAACAATTTTTGGTGTATCACTGTATGTTGGAATGACTTAATTTATTAAAACACACAAAGACGAATGCAGCAAAAGGAAAATTGTTTTGTTGGATTTTTTTTTTGAAAAAAATGCCATTTTCTTTTAAAAGTGAAAGCAAAGACAATAAAGGAAACAACAACGAAGAATTTAACAAAACACTTCATTAATCATAATATTCTTGAAAGCACAGGGCCCTTACAAAAAAATATCCTATAGCCTTGGGCATGACTATAAAGGTTTGAAAAACAACAAGTAAAGAAAACAAACAAATTACTTCAACACAGGAAAAATCACGGGAATTTCAACAGCTTCCCAGTTGCTTAAACCAGTCTCGCAATGATATACCAAATGTTCAATATCCTCGTCTTCAAAGTCTTCTCCCACAGTATTAACTTGGAATCCCCCACTGATGAACACCTTTTGGATAGTCTTCGGACGTCCTTCGGCATGTGGTGATGCTTCTACATGAGTAGGTTTGTAACCTAACCCTTGGAGACCCAATCTTGCCTTCACCTCAATAACCTCTCCCCAGCTTGCAGGAGTACCCTCTTCCAATGTAGACTTTATACTCTGGGCGGATGCAAAAGATGGACCACTCTTTGCCACTGTTTCTTCTATCATCACCGCGTTAGCTATTTCAAGCGCTTGAAAAGAAGCTTCTAATGCATCCTCATCTACCTCAATATACCTGAATGAAGAAAAATTACTCACCATCAAGTCCTCTTTGCCATGTACAATTACCAGCTTGTCATTTACAACAAATTTCATCCTTTGATGCAAAGTGGAAGTCACCGCTCCAACTGCATGAATCCAAGGTCGTCCCAACAAACAACTGTAAGCTGGGTTAATGTCCATCACCTGAAATGTGATATCGAACACGTGGGGGCCTATCATAATCGGCAACTCCACTTCCCTAACAACTGTCCTTCTTGAACCATCAAAAGCCTTGACAATCAACGACGTCGACTTCATCTCTGCCCCTTCATATGCCAATTTTGCAAGCGACCTTTTAGGCAATACATTCAATGAGGATCCAGTGTCAACCAAGACCCGTGCCAACGCGTCCTCTTGACATCTGATAAATACGTGCAACGCACAATTATGATTACGTCCTTCCCTTGGCAGCTCTTCATCACTGAAACTCAAAGTGTTGCAGGCTGTAATATTGGCTATCACCGAATCAAATTGGCCAATGGTTATATCTTTTGACACGTGTGCCTGCATTAACACCTTTTGTAAAGCCTCTCTATGGGCCAGAGAGTTCATCAAAAGGGATAAAATGGATATCTTCGAGGGGGCGATGAAGGTGATTAATAACCCTATAATCGCTTTTTCGGATGATTCTCAAAAGCTCCTCAGCAGCTCCTTGATTGGTTGGCACTTCCTTGTATTTTTTTGTCGCGGCAGGGGTAACCTCCTTTTGAGTGACCACTGTTATTCTAGGTTGATATATTCGACCGCTACGGGTCATCTTGCTTATTCCTGTAATATTTGTCACGTCAACTTGGTCACCCTTCACCTTCTCGTTCTGAATAATCTTCCCAGATCTTTGGTCTACCACATTCATGTCATATTTCCATGGGACCGCCTTTGTACTCTCAAAAGGAAACGATTTCGACTTCTAAATAATAACTGGTCGGGGCTGATCAATAGCATATTTGTTGAAAACAGAATTCACATTTTTGCAGATCATATTGAACACAGGAATTTTCTCGCTTTTCTTCGGTAGGTTGAAAATAGGCTCAACCACCGAAACTTCCTCCTTCTTTACCTTGCTATAAACTTGCAATAGTCCATTGTCGATCAAACTTTGCACATCCTTTTGCACCACATCACACCCTTTAGGATTAACAGAACATTCCTCACAATCATCATGGGTACCTTTAATCAGTCCCGCTTTTAACAATTTCTCATGAAGTGGCCTCAACGGGGTCTTGATTTCTGACACATCACAAACTAACTTTTCATCTGAAGCTTTTTTTATAGTATTAACTCCTCCATGATTCGGCAATGGATTATTTTTAACATTAGGCTGTACATCATCGAAAGACAAAATCTTCTTCTCTCTGAGCTCCCTGACAAGATGCTTCAAGGCAAGACACCCTTCTAAGTCATGGTCGGCAGCACCTTCATGAAAGGCACAATGAGCATTCGGATTGTAGTGAGGAGATGAAGTGTCTAAAGATGGACCCAGCGGTCGTGCTGTTATCAACCCTTGTTGCACCGAAGATGGGTACAACTCTGTATAAGTCATTAGTATCTGAGGAAATGGAGGCTTCATTGTTGGTCTTCGATTTTGATAGTTTTGCCTTGGCGCTTGAGTCTTAGGCTGCTGATATTGCTCGTAGGATGGAGCGTCGGGCGCTCGTTGATACCCTTTTTGCTGAATTGGTTGATACATAGGTGCCGACTGCACTGTCTGATAATTTGGAACAGGGTGATTGAAAGCAGGTGTGACAGCTGCCGCGTATAGTTGTTAGGCATACTGTACCGGATACATCGGTTGTTGTGTAAAATTTTGCTGAGGTTGCTGAACATAGCCTTGCGAGGGCTACTGAACATAGCCTTGTTGAGGCTGCTGATACTGTCGGTAGCCTTGTTATGGCGTTTGTTTCTCCCTCCTTTATCTTATGAAAACTACCGCTGAACTTCTTAACATTATTGTTGTTGGAACCACTGGAATTACTAGTCATTTTTCCGTTCTTCAGTCCCAATTCCACTCTCACCCCCACAGCCACTATATCGGAGAAACTCACTGTTATGCTGCTAATCATCTTCTCATAAAATTCTGGTCTTACCGTGTCTACAAGCCAATCTGTCAACTCATTTTCATTTAAAGGAGGTTCCCCTTGAGAGGCGGTCTCCCTCCATTGTTAACTCTTTTGTGACATACTCAGCAGTTGTCTCCTGTCAGGGGCCAAATCCATATTGTATTTGTAATGCTTTATGAAAGCGTCAACCAAGTCTTGGAAGCTATGAATGCGAGACTGATCTAGGCCCAAATACCACTTGGCAGGTGCTCCTTTCAAGCTATCTTGGAAACAATGGATCATTATCTTAGCATCTTCTACATGATCATCCATTCTCTGGTAATACATGATCAAATGCGTCCTAGGAAAAGTAGCCCTAAAGTAATGATTGAAGTTGGGAACCTTGAATTTCGGCGGGATTACCAATCCAAACACTAAACACATATCTCTGGCATCAGTACCAAAGATGTCGTTTCCATCCATTGCTCTAACTTTCCTCCGTATAGTTTATACACCTTCCTTCAATTTTTCATGTCATTCGCTTCCTCCTTCGGACCCATCAGGAACTTCAAACACTTGTTGATGATTGTGAAAAACAGGGCGCACTTGAGCTTGCACAAAAGCTAGAGTGTAAGTTGGAACAACTTGAGGAATCTCTGCCCCTAGAGGA